CATCCTTCCGAGGTGGGTGAAATGAGGACCCAGACTGTGGGGGCCATATGCTGACTCTGTAAAACCGCTTAGAGAGGGCTGAAAGCCCTATGAAGCGGTATATAAGTCTAACTGCTATTGCTATTGCTAGTGGGACTCCAGTCATCAACATATATTGGTGGGAGTGGGGGAGAATACAGTATTTATACAAAGCCACATACTTCCTCCACAAGATCTTTCCTATATTATGATACAAGCCCATATCACCACCCCCAGCTTGCTCTTTGTATTCTTGCTCCTTCCACTACTGAAAAAGAAAAACATTAAAGGGAATATCAAAGGTGTTATATACTCTACAGCAGTGTTTTTCATCCTTATCAAGTTTTAAGATGTATGGATTCCAAGAACTCTGGAATTCTGAAGTCCACCCATCGTAAAGTTGTCAAGCTTGACAACTCTTAATAGTTAACCCAGTGAGAAATTGGTCTACTTGAAACCCAACCTACAAAGAATTAGATGAGATACGTCTTGGGTTTCTGATGGGTCATCATCGCAATGTAATTTGGGAGAATGTTACCAAGGCAGAACTCATTCTTTTGTCCAAAAGTACCTTCAAATAGGACCCAGAAGGCCAGCAGCGTCTTGCAGAAGAGTTTCATGTTGTTTATGTTTGAAGAAATGTGTCCGTCAACCTAATGGAAAAAGGGAGAAGTAGGATAACATTGATAGCAAGAGGACAATTGTTTGGCGTAGTAGAACATTTCCCTAGAGTGGCGTTGCCCAAACTTAGCAACTTTTAAGTTGTGTGTAGGTCAACTCTGAAGATTCGGGGAGTTGAAATCCACACATCTTAAGATGGTCAAGATTGAGAAACTTTGCCCTAGAAGGCTAACCTTTCCATTGTGATCTCTCTTCTGTAGAGAGAGATCCCACAGAAGAAAACTGCTAGCTAGACCTCAGGCATGCACAGCATCAGGGCATCAGTAAGGAGAAATTGGATTTTTGCCAGTACACCAGAAGTTGTTTCCTGTTTGCCTCCCCTAACTAGGTCAGTTACAGCTAATATGCAGATTGTATGCATTCGCTGTGCATTCACGCAAAGACAATATTCAGGCAATTGAAGAGTTTAAACAGGATTTCTCAACCCGAGCTACTTCGTGTCGATTGCAATTCCCTGAATGTCCACTATCAAATGGCCAAGATTGAGGTTTAAGGCTACTGAATGCAACCTGAACCTGAGGATGCTCAGTAGGAAAATTGTTTCATCCCTTTGTTGATGTTTTATACAATACTAGCCAATATCTCGGTGTTGCCCATGTTATTTATTTATAGAAGGAAAATGTCCGGACCAAACATAATTTCTAATGTTGAATTTTCCCCCTTACCGGAGGGAGCCCCCTTGTGGGGTACTGTGAAGTCGTTATCATGGCAACTCCACTGCGCTGTACAGTGGAAGGCATTTTATGGCAGTACAGTAGAAGCAATTTTAAAAAACAACAGGCTGTATCTTAACAGAACACACACCCCGAAGGAGTGTCTTCCTTCCCCCACACAATATTTGTTTTCAGAGTGTAAGTCATCTATATACCAAGTTTGGTTGAAATTGCTTGAGGCATTCCAAAGTTATGCTAGAAAACAGAGAGAGAGAGAGAGAGAGGGAGGGAGGGAGGGAGGGAGGGA